AACCTAGGGAGGTTGTGTGATGTCAGAAAATCCTCCATTTCCTTTAGGTTTTCAAGTTTGTTTCCATACAAGTGTACATAGTAGTCTCTGAAAATCTTTTGTATTTCTTCAGGGTCAGATGTGATTTCATCTTTTGTGTTTCTGATTGTGTTTATTTGTTTTTTTTATCTCTTTTTCTTTGCTGGCATAGCTAGGGGACCATCAATCTTATTTATCTTTTCAAAGAACCGGCTTTTTGTTTCACTGATTTTTTTGTTTGCATTTCATAATCATGGAAGCTTTTTATATATGATGGAGCTACTCTGGAATTTTGCTATTTACTTTGAGATAATGCTTCCTCTTCTGATTTTACCCCAAGATGAAAATTCCTCAATACTGTAAACATCCCAGAGACACATATCCTGAGTTGTACTTTACTGTCTTTCCATTTTGTAAAACAGTGGATGATTGTCACATTTTAAGAAACAGCTGCCATCCATTACCCAAATGTTCCTCACATTTTTCTTCTTCATTCTCCTGGAGTTGCTAGCTTTGAAAAATATCTCTGTCCATAGCACTGAAACCTGGTTAGTGATAATCATGCTTTCTCTGACTGTCCAGCTCCCTCTTCATAGTTGCTTTCATATTTCCCCAGCTACAATCATGCAACCAAATAGGGCATGTTCACCAATATACCCGCATTCCTAATCCACTCACACACTGAGTGGCCAATCTCACTGCTCAGATTATTTGTCTGTTTTTACTTTAATGCGTAAAAGACAGTGATAGTGATGACAATGATGGTGAAGTTGACCTATAGAAAATGACAAGCCAAGCTATGTGATTCGGGTATTCAAATGTCAGCGCCTCGCTTAGTGAGGGACTTAAATCATTATTTACATGTTATCTGTATCCAAGGAGAAGTGCTTATTTATTTCCATTTCATTGGGAAAAAATAATGAGCCCTCTCTATGTTCTCCCTGTACCATGGCAGGATCAATAGCTCTTAAGAGAGTCATTTGAAGACAGTCTATTCATGTCATCTGGCTGGTTGTGAGGAGTTTGTATTCTCTCACTCCGGTCTCCTAAATGGTGGGGTGCAATTCAGGTGGGAATGTGATAAAGCACAGCTGTAAGAATGAACTGATACTCACTCACTTTCATGATTGTTCCCAGTCTCCAAAATATGTGTTCTAATAAAAGTAATAGATGAACACAGAGGTAGCTATGCCCTTTTTTCTTTTCCTTGCCTGGTTGATCTGGCTAGGCATTCCAATAAAATGCTCAATAAAGTGGTGAACATAAGCACCCATGTCTTGTTTCAGTTCTTATAGAGAAAGATTTCAGCGTGCCCCATTCTGTACGATGTTTGCTGTGGGTTTGTTTTATATGGCTCTTATTATGTTGAGGTACATGTCTTCCGTACTCAATTTGTTGAGAGTTTTTTTCATGAAGGAATATTGCATTTTAGTGAATGCATGCATTTTCCATATATATTTAGGTGATCACATGATTTTTCTCCTTCGTTTGGTTGGTGTTATGTACCTTGTTTTGAACCATCCTTGCTTTCCTGGGATGAATTCCATTTAATCCTGTGAATAATCTTTTTTATGTGCTGTTGGATTCAGTTTGCCAATTTTGTGAAAATTTTTGCATCTCTGCTCATCAGTGAAATTGGCTTGTAGTTTGCATATATGAGTCCTTGTCTGACTTTGGCATATTTTCAAGTAGGCTCTCTTTGAACTCAGATATTCTTTTTGTCTGTTTGATTGATTCTACTGGTATGCTGTCTATTGCATTTAGAAATATGCTTTATTGCATTTTCCATCTTCAGAATTTTTTTTTTTGTTGAAGTCTCACTCTGTCACCCAGACTGGAGTGCAGTGGCCGCTCTTGGCCACTGCAGCCTCGACCTGCTGGGCTCCGGTGATCCTTCCGCCTCAGCCTTCCATCAGCCTTCCAAGTAGCCAGAATTACAGGCGCGCGCTACCACATCCGGCAAATTTTTTTGATTTATTGTAGAGATGAGGTCTCGCTGCCCAGGCGGGTCTCGGACCCGCGGGCTTAGGCAATCCACTTACCTCAGCCTCCCAAAGGCGTGGGATTACAGGCTGAGCCACCAAGCCCGGCTCATCTTCAGAATTTTAAATTAATTAAACCTCTTTGTATTTTTCTGTACATTTAAAAATTGTTTATGTTTTACCAGAGTTCCTTGAGTTTTCTTAAAATATCTGTTTTGGATTCTCTGCATCTTCATCCCTTTAGGGTCAGTCTCTGCTGACTTATTTTGGCAATTTGGTGAAGCCATAATTTCCTGAATATTTTTGATATTTTGAACATGAGACGATGTCTGCATAATATATAATTAAATATTTATTTCAACTTTAACACCTTGGCTTTGTTTGTGCTTGTCCTTTAAGAGATTCTAAGCAGTCTGATTATGATCTATGAACCTGTGGTCAGCGCTGGTTTTACTTTTAACCACTAGAGGGCACTCTATGCCCAGATGTGCCATGCTTCCAAAGTTACCGTGTTGGTTTGTTCTTGGAGGACTGGAGAAGGGCTTAAATTAGGTACTGCATCCCACTGGGTCTGCACGTTTTTGCTTGGAGCCAGGGCAGGCCCAGAGGTTCTGTTTGTGGTCCCCCGGTTGGAGCCAGGCATTGCAGGGCTCTGCCCAGGGCTAGGTCTCCTCACTGTGATGGGCCCAGGCTGTGATGGGCTGCAAGACAACATGTTGTACCTGCTTCCTTCTGCTTCCCCTAAGCAGGCCCTCTCTTTCCATGCTGTTCTGCCTGGGAGCAGAGGAAGAGTGAGACAGGCTGTCCCATGGCCGCTTCAGACGCTATGCTGTGGGGTCACACTCAAAGCCCATAGCCACTGAGACGAGTGCAGCGCAGGGGTATGCTAGGCCCACACTCCTACAGTCTCTTGACATTGAGGTTCAATCATAGCTAGAGGTTGCAGCACAGAGTCAGTGGTGATGAGGGCTGGAACGAAAGACTCTTCCTTCTAGGCCGTGGGTCTCTCCCTGGCATCTAGTAGGTCCAGAGGCTCTGTCTCCAGGACCTGGCCTGGGACCTGGGCTCACTGCGTTTTGGCAAGTGTTGGGTTTCACTGTGGCAGGCACTGATCTGAGTTGCAGACACAGTCCTCTGCTTACTTCCCTCTCCATTCTCCCAGAAGATGGAGTTGTTGTAGCTTCCTGGGTTTTTATGCCTGCTACCCAGAAAGGCAGAAACGGGGACAGCAGCTGTTGTGACAGAGAAAGAGCTTAATAATTACAAAGCAGCTGAGTGAGGAGGACAGGAGATAGTTCTAAAATCTGACTCCCTGAGAATTCAGAGGCTAGGGGTCTTTAGGGTAATTTGGTGGGCAAGGGGCTAAGGAATTGACTCTGCTGATTGGCTGGGGAGGAAATCAGATGTGTTGCGATAGTCCTCAGGCACGTAGTTTCTGCGTGGGGTTCTTGAGTCACCTGTCCAGTTGGCCTATCTGGAAGCAGAGTTTGAAAAATATCTCAGACTCCAGTCTTAGGTTTATGTTGTCTGTGAGGAGTAATTGGGAGAGTGAACAATGGATGTGGGAATCCCTAGTGAACAAAGTTGCTCACGCCCTTTGGTTGATTAAACTTCTAGATACTACCAAGGAGGTCTGCGTGACCGAAAACCCATTGTTCTTTAGGAGAAAAATAAGTTATTTAAGCTTGCAGGCAGCTCCAAGTCTAGGATATGCATGGAGGGAGAAACTGTAAGAGTACCTTATGCTGGGCTCGGTGCTCAGCCTGCAATCCCGCACCTTGGGAGGCTGAGGTGAGTGGATTGCCCGAGCATGCGGGTTTGAGACCTGCCTGGGCAACTTGGCGAGACCTCATCTCTACAGTAAATCAAAAATTAGCCGGGCGTGGTAGCGCGTGTCTGTAGTTTCGGCTACTTGGAAGGCTGAGGCAGAAGGATCGCCGGAGCCCAGCAGGTCGAGGCTGCGGTGGTCGGGAGCAGCCATTGCACTCTAGTCAGGGTGACAGAGTGAGACTCCAACTCAAAAAAAAAAAAGAGTACCTTATGATTTAGCTATGCTTGCATTCTAAAAAATTCAGGCCTCTGTCACAGTTCCAACCTTATGGTTTTAAAAATTAATTTTATATAGGCAGTTCCAGAATCACTTTTTGTACTGTGTAGTCCAGGTTTTGAGGAGGAATGGGAGTGGCAGTCTCTTGGTCACCAAGGCTAATACTTAGCTGGGTCACACCCAAAGTCCTTGGAAACTGGGACCTGTATAATCCTGTGTTGCCAGGTGGAGTATGTGGCAATGTTCGTGAGTTCTTTGACTCACTACTGAAAAGAATTTCTGAGTAACCTGCAGTGTTTGAAAATAGAATTTATTAGTGATAGAAAGACAGAGACACACACACACACACACACACACACACACACGAGACATAGAGCTGGCATAGGTGGGTCTCTTGAAAGAAAAACCATGCTTTTACTTAATTTATTTTCGCAATATTGTGCTAAACAGGGTTTGCTACAGGTATCTGCTGTGGAGAGATTATGATCTCTCTCCCTCTGGTGGGTGGGGGATAGCCTTTTTCCTGCACACAGATTTGGCCTTTGACAGGAGACTTGGTAGACTTTCAGTGGTTAATGTTTGTCTAATACATGAGCTAAAATGTAGTCTGATGATAATTTCTATGCCTTGATGGGCTTTTCTTTGAGTAGCTGATGGAGTTTGGGTGGGGTTGTCCTTTACCTTTAATGGGGAGCTAGTAGATTTTTTGTAATTATTATGGTAAATCGTGAACTGAAAGGTTGGAATGCAACATTTCTACTCCTTGATGGGCTTTTATTTGATGAGCTGGGGGGACGGCATAGACTGAAGTTCATATTCAGCCCACAGGGCGGTCCAGCCTGCAGAAAAGATGTCTGGATGTTTCCCTATTTTGAAACTGAAAACTGTTCATAAGACATTTATCTATCTCTGTCTACCCTGTATTAAAATACCCTGCCCACCTGGAGCATGACCCAGGCACACACTGATAAGTCCTGCCTGCTGCTTTAGTTCACTCAGGGCCTGATGTAGATGGTCAGTGGTGGGGCAAGATTGAAATGAGCCTATCCTGTCGGGACTACAGTTTTCCACCTGTTCTGTGGTGAGTTCAGAGACTTTGTTCATGGGTCCTGTCCTGGGGTCTCTGGCACTACATTGCTCTCAGGTTTGCTGGATCACCAGTACCTCATGGCTCATGACTGGCCCAGGGGTGCTCTCCAATTCAAAGTCCTTCCCTCAAATCACTCTCTTTCCCTCAAGCAGGCTGTCTCCATGCTGCACCGCTTAAAGTTGGTGAAGGGGTGAGGCAAGCAGTGATATTCTGCCTTCCTTACTCTCTCTTCAATGCCTCTTTTGTGCTTGTTAGGTCAGTTGGCTGAGCCCGTGACCTGGGAATACAAAGAATGGCATGGAAATTAGATTTGAAGTGGAAATTTTATGCACCTCAGGAAAGCAAAATGGTGAGGTGTGTGTCTAACCTATCGGTCTGCAAACTGGCCTACAGCAGGCAGCGGGAGGAGTTGAAGGAAAGGATCCCAGCCGATGAATCCTGGCTACTGGAACTGATCAGCATGGCAGAACCGCAT